GCCTTAGCCGGTTGAGCTATAGGCGCCGAGCCATTCCTCAGTATTTCATAGTCCTTAAAAATATATACATTCTCTGACACATTTACTTTTTCTCATATCTAGGAAAATTCCTCTTGATAATAGTTTTTTTTTAAATCTGGACATTTTGGTAAACTTTTTTTTTTTTTTCAGTTTTGACCAGGGCCAGGCTTGAACCTACGACCCCTGGTATATGGGGCCGGCGCCCTACTCCTTGAGCCACAGGTGCTGCCCTACTTTGGTAAACTTTCATTAATTCTAATCATTTTCCAAGTGGTTCCATTGAATTTTCTGGTAGGTTATCTGGGTAGATAACCATAAAATGTGAAAACAATGAGAGTTTCCAACATTTATGTTTTGTCATATTTTTATATTGCACTGACTAGAAATCCTTGGAATGTTTATATAATTCTGCTTTCACTGCCATAACAGAATCCACAGACTGAGTATTTTCTCACAGCTCTGGAGGCTACAAGTCCGAGGTCAAAGTCCCAGCAAGTCTGATTTCTGATGAGGCCTCTCTCTCTGGCTTGCAGACTGATGGCCTCCTTTTCACTGTGTCCCACGTGCTTTCCCCCACGTAGAAGGGAGGGAGAGGGATCTTTGTGTCTCTTCTTGTAAGGACAGCAGTTCTATTGAATTAGGGTCCCACTCTATAATATGGTTCCATCTTAGTTAAGCCATATCCCTAAAAGCCGTATCTCCTAAACAGTTACATTGGGGTATAGGGCTTCACCATATAAACTGTAGGGGACACACAATACTGTCCATAACAAGGTTGTTGAATAGCAACAAACAATTTTTTTTCTTGTTTTTTCCTCCTCTCTCCCCCCCAATTTTAGCACTACGAATAATATTTTTAGCTGGGTGTGATGTCATGTACCTGTAGTTTTGACTACTCAGGAGGGTGAGGCAGGAGGATCCCTTGACCCCAGGAGTTTGAAACCAGCCTGGACAACATAGCAAGACCTTATCTCTAAAAATTAATAACAGTGATAATTTTGTTTTCCTGAACATCTGAGAAATAATGTGGGCAAAATATGCAAAGGAAACATAAACTTGATACAAATCAGAGTTGTCACAGAGGTTTACTTGAAAAATGTATGTTTGTGTACCTAGCACCAGTTTGCTTGTAGACACAGAGCAGATATTCAAAATGCACTTGTTGATTGGCAAGAAAACTGCCGCAAACCTTTGCTGTTATGTTTGTATTGTGTGTTTAAAATTTCTGTAAGTAATTCTGATTAATACCCTGTAGATAAGCGGTTTATGTTCATTTTTCTCCTTTTGTTCAAGAAAGCCCTGCTGTTAGGCAGTGAGTGTATTTTAATATAAACAGTGTAATCTCTGCCTGTTATTTAATGACTTTGGGTTTTTCACCTTGAACCGAAATGGTATGTGCTATAATAAACAGAAATCTTTATTTCTTACTGGCCGAGGAAGGCAGGTAAAATATTATAGCTATAAAGTAGTTTATAATCCCCACTCTGTTATGAACTGGAAATTTCTTGGCAAAATGCCACATTTTGAGTCCCAAATAAAGAGTTCCTTCTGAGCAATTCCCAACCAAAATTATTCTTGAAAAGCCGAGTCAGGCCGGGCCCAGTGACTCTCCCCTGTAATCCTAGCACTTTGGGAGGCCAAGGTGGGATGATCACTTCAGCCCAGGAGTTCAAAGTTACAGTAAAGTGTGACTGTGCCACAGCACTACAGCCTGGGTGACAAATAAATAAATAATTCAATCATTAAAAAAAATTATATAATATGACTTAAGTGAAGAATTAATATTTGAGGCACACTATAAGCATCAGGCAGTTGCTGGTTACCTCCTAATAAAGCAAAACTTAAAGATATGATCATAATAAAACATAAAGATATTTATTTCACATATACTGTACCTGTTACCTGTTTTAAAGAAATAGAAGACTTCATTCTTTCTCCTTCTTCATTCTGTCCCATTTCTACCCTCAGGGAAGCTCTTTTGTAAAACAAAATTAACTTATAATCTAAAATCCTATATTCCTACAGATGTGACTAATCTCAGAAGCCTTTGGGTTTCAATCTCTCCTCTTACCCTTCATAGCTAGGTGACCTTGGGCAAATTCCTTAATCTCTCCTAGCCTCAGTTTTCCCATTCATAAAATTAGGATAATAACACATAAGAAATGTGGTTTCTGTGAGAATTATGTGAAATGCCCAAAACAGATCCCAACATATAGAAGCTCGGTACACGGAGGTTTGACAGTCAAGTTAGAGAACTCATCTTAGAAAAAGTCCTCCATCTTTCATTGCTGAATATTACTTCAGTCACCTCTGAAGTACAACCCTTGGGGAACTATTCACCAATGCCACCATCTTGTTCACCCTTCAAGTAAATTTTGGAATTTTTTTTTCTGGAATAGCCATCAGAACTGTCTTTGTATTACCTTTCATGTCCTGAATGTCATCAAAATGTACCTCTTTCAATATTCTCTTTATCTGTGGGCCAAGAACAAAGTCAATGGGGGCCATATCAGGTAAGTAGGGAGAGTGTTCCAGTACAGTTATTAGTTTACAGGCTAAAAACTCCCTCATAGATGATGGCACCAATGGTGAGGTGGTGCGTTGTTGTGATATAAGAGCCAGGAGTTATTGGCCAAGATTTTCTGTGAAGATTTTCCTGTTTCTCTATTGATATTTACTTGGTCTGCTATGCTTCTCACAGTCAGCGGATGATTTTGATGCACAGTTCGATGAATTTTTGCCATATTTTCATCAGTTCTGCTTGTTACTGGCTGCTGCCCTGACCTCCCTTCATTAGTGACACTTTTTCTCCCCTCAGAAAAACGTCGAATCCATTTTCATGCTGCTGTTTTCTTCATAGCATTATCCCCATAAACTTGGACTAACATGTTCCTGATTTCACTTCCACTCCTGCCAAGTTCAACAAGAATTTATGAATGTTTGTTAATTTCTCTAATTCAAGCTCTGACATTCTCACCACAGCATACAAAAACACACAACAATAGTGAATTCTACTCAGCAGGGCACAGGCACATAGTGACATGAACACAACTGTGAGACACCAATATATCAAGATTATGAAACTTACTGAGTTGTTCGTATGGTGCTACCAATGTAAGTGCACAGTGGCAAGTTTATGAACTGAATTGTCTGGCCTCATATGGAATAATTTTATTACTATTATTAAATAATAACATTGCCTTTTTTGAACACTGACTTTATTTGGAATATTTAACTTACTCATGGAAGTGAATCTAGAAAAATCATAAAGAAGCTAATTTCCAAGCATGATTTTAAAAACAAAATCAGAGCCCTGAGCAGTGCCTATAGCTCAAAAAGGTAGGGTGCCGGCCCCATATGCCAGAGGTGGTGGGTTCAAACCCAGCCCTGGCCAAAAAAAAAAAACCAAGAACCCCCTCCCCCAAAACCAGAGCCCTAATTGAGCTTTTGCCTTCTTGTAATGTTCTATCCTAAACTCCAAATTTGTTCTTCTCAGATGCACCAAAGACTACAACAGCCTTTGATATTGGTGGAAAATAAACAGCTTTTTGGGAAATAGGACTTCATCATGCAAGAGTTTATAGATGTATGTCGGGGTTTTTTTTCTTAAAAAGAGAGAAAAAGCCTTTCTTGAGTCAGAAATATTTCTCAAACCATTATAGGATAACAATTATGACTCTCCACTTTTTATTTTTATTAGTAGTTTGAAAAAGATGACTCTCTACAATGCCTACCCCGGAAGAATATTATTCTACAAATAAGGGCCCAGCATGACATTTATGAGGAAGCGGGGTCCTCCTGTGCAAAGCTGATTGCTGGTCAGCCAACAGGCTCCAGGGCGCTGCATATAAAGGCACCTTCTCCACTGGGCTGTTCAGATGCAGGGCAGAGGGTTGCCTCTGCCTGTGAAACCTGGGGACATGCTCAGGCCCTGTCATAGCCGCACACATCTGTGGCCAGCAAAGAGAAACCAGACTCCAAAAATGAAGCATCTTCTTCCCCAGTTCCCTTCCATCTTGGTCATCTGCTGCTTCTGCATGCTACAGATCCCCTCCTCAGGTAAGAGGACCCTCATCAGACCCCCCCACCCCCCGCCTGTCTAGGGAAGACTGAGAATGATTTTTATCCTTCCAGGGGAGTTCTGGAGGGAGTCCAGCTTTCCCCTCTACCCCCATTTCCACTCTTTTATTTCCTGGCTTTGAATTTGCTTCTAACCTTTAAGAGAGGATGGACAGAGAGAGATGCTGCAGCCTTTTACCAAAGAATACTTTCCCCTGTGGGACTGGCTTTAAACTGCTCCTACCCCAGGGGATCCTGAGTACTGCCGCGGAAACTGTGAAAGGCAGGCATGCCTCAACGTGGGTTGGGGGAAGGTCACACTTTTTAACCGTTAACACTCCCTGGGTTTTGAAGAGACGAGAACAGAAACAGTAAAACTGAATTTACAGCCACAAAGACTGAGAATTGATGGGCATTTGGAGGGGGGCTGGGAAGGAGCGCCCACGGGGAAAGGAATCTTTTCAAAGCCTTTCCCAAGGGCTCCAGAGGCAGGATCCCAAAAAGCACAAAGGAGGCCTGATCTGGGGCTGTGGCGCTGTCCGAGGTGCTGACCCGCTGCGGGCGGCGCTTCAGCAACTTCGGAGATCTGGAGAGGCTGCCAGGAACGAGCGGTGGAGTGAGGGTCTGCGTCGGGAATTCGGGAATTCGTTACTATTCGTTACTACCATCTCTGTAGGACGCAGGGAAGTGTGCCCTGGGAAAACAGCTAAGGTTGAAAACACAGACGATTTAAAAAGTTTAGATGTTTCCATTCAAATTTTTAGGGGAGTAGAAAATCTTGGAAAATACATTGAAAGAGAAAGCCTATTTCAGACAGTATGTTCATTTTGTCATGTCCTGTAGTGTAATTACAAAACCTGGGCATTGCAAGGAACCTTGAGGTCATCCGGGTTTAACCTCTCAAGGAGTGCAGGAATTCCGTGCTCGGTTTCCCTGCAGAAAGTCTTCCAGATTCTATTTGAGTACTTTCAGCGACCTCCAACTCACTACCAGCCTAAGACAGCCAGCTGCTGCCTCTTCTGGGCTCCTACGGAATCCTGTTTATTCCACTTTTGGAAATATGTTATTACCTTTCACTTATCTTTCTATATATTTGTATCTACCTCCTTCTTTTTCCTGTTTGACTTTATGTTACTCAGAATAGGGCTGCTATGGTCTTTGCCTTTGTATTATAATAACATAGAACCTGCCAATAAATCCTTGTAGGATTGGTTTGGATTACTTTGCATTACTGAATGATTCCAATCATCAAAAACTTCTTTATACTAAGTTGAAAGCTGAGCACATGTCACTTCTAACCAGTAGTCCTAGTTCAGATTTTTGTGGAAACACAGACTAAAACTAATATCTCAGCTAGGCGGTGCCTGTGGCTGAAGCGGCTAAGGCACCAGCCACACACACCTAAGCTGGCAGGTTCAAATCCAGCCCGGCCCACCAAACAACAATGATGGCTGCAACCAAAAAATAGCTGTGCGTTGTGTCGGGCGCCTGTAGTCCCAGCTACTTGGGAGGTGGAGGCAGGAGAATGGCTTGAGCCCAGGAGTTGGAGGTTGCTGTGAGCTGTTATGCCACAGCACTCTACCCAGAAGGACAGCTTGAGGCTCTGTCTCAAAAGTAAAAAAAAAAAATAAAACTAATATCTCATACTCATGACGGTTCTCACAGCGGTTGAAGGCAGTTAACATACACTTTCTACTTCTCTTCTTTCCAGAGAAAACTATGCTTAGATGCTTTAATTCTACCTTATATCCTACATTGCAAGTCAGACTATTACCTTTCAAGGTTTGGGTGCTATTATTTGAATCTAGTGTACAGTTGCCTTAACTTTCTTTTGGCTCTTGGAGAGAAGGCAGGGAGCAAAATATCACTTTTTTTTTTTTTAATTCACGAGCCATGTATTCTTTGTCCCACAACTTAAAAAATCCGAGGTCATGGTTTTATACTTATCTATTTAATGTCATGAACTTTAAAGTCATGAGCTTTCCAATCAATTCTGTACAGCTGTTCTACTACAGTATAGCTGTTCTTCCAAGTGTTGTGTCATATGCAAATGAGAAGAGGTGTAGATTAAAGTCAGGTAAAAGTTGCTGGCACAGTCTGGCTGCATCTGGCTGCATGCTGGTAGCAGCCTTCCCCAGAGCCCCACCCTGGAAAGTCTGATGGAGCAGAGAGATAGGTATTTGTATACCTTGAAATTCCAAGAGTGTCCTCTTCATATAGTGGTGAGTAGTTAAAAAAAAAAATTCCTGAGAGTGATTCTGATGTAAACACTTTGTTGATATCATCTCCCAATATTCCATCCTCATAAATTCCATCAAAATATAAGCTAAATTGTCACCTTTGTATTCATTCCCCCTTTTTCCTGAGTGGCTAGTATTTTTACTGAACACTGGTAAACTAAAAACATGCTGTTTTAAATTAATTTTGTACAAATCTCAGATTTGCTGGTGGTAGGTAGAAATGTGTTTGGTTTATTGTTGTGATAGAACCTCTGTGTCTTTTTCATGATATGGATTTAGAAGTAGATGCTACATCCTCTTTCTCTAATTGACATTTTTATGATTTCTCACAACAGGGTTCCCACAGTCTTTGGCTGATCTTCCAGATGGCTTGGACAGTGTACAGCTTGAGGTACCCTATTGTTCAAGTAATGTGAGATTTTTATCTAGTCTGGGCCTTGGACACATAATGTGGCTAATGCTCACTTAAGACCATTTGTACTATTTTAAGATCAGATTTTTGGTTGCAGCAGAGACTCACTGTTGCCATTTTCATGCCCTCATTTAATGCACCCTGAAAGTTGTATTGAAAGTCGTGGCCACTCTGTGAGAAGAGAATACAAGGCTCATAAATGGGACAATTTTAGAATTTTAAATATGTCGTAATAGAATTCTGTTGACTAAGGAAATTGTGCTTATCTTTAATTTATTTAAAAATTATTGTTGACACATAATAGATATACATATTTTCAGAGTACATGTGATATTTTGATACTTCATATGCATGATAATTAAATTAGGGTAATGAATATTCATCACCTTAAACATTTATCTTTTCTTTATGGTGAAATTATTCGCTCCTAGCTACTTTGAAACTATTATTATTACTTATTACTTATTATAGTCACTGTACTGATTCAGCAAACATTAGGTTTATCTATTTTTGTACCTGTTAACCAACCTTTTTAAATGACCTCCTCTCTTTGATTAATTTTCTTTACTTTACTTTTTAGAGGCTGACATATTGTCTGAGTCAGCAGACAACTCTTTCTAGCCAATCTAAGGTAAAAAAAACTAATATACATACACTGATTCCTGTAGTTATAGCAGTGCATACGTTAACACCATAATTGATATTTGCAATAAACATCCTCTTTTGGTACCTACAGAAGAATGCTCTGTGTATGTGTAAAAGTGTGTATGTATGAGGGAATATAGCTTTGGGAAATATCAAGTGAATCTTTTAAGTGTAAATTATTATGAAATATATGTAGTTTGTATGTATTCTTACGATTATTGTAATTACATGTATAATTATAGTAATTGCGTATATCATTACATATTGTACATTAAAAATTGATATATATGCTCTTTTTTATTGAATAGTAACTGTACATTAATGCACTTCTGGGGTATAAAAAAAATTGATATATATGATATAGCAGTTCTCCAAAAACAATAGTTCTCGTTTAAAGGATGCTATAGTAACTACAATAACTGCACAGAAATATTTCAATGAATATGAAGTAAATGTTGATTTAATTGAAAGTACAAAGGGGTGGTCTCAGGATAGCCTGTGATTCTTAGCGTAGGCTGTATGCTTACACCCTGGGCTACCTCTCCCTTCCCTCTCTCAACCCACAGCATACCATACTCCAGCCACACTGAGTTTCTCACTATCCCTCAAATGCGCCAGGCCCTCTGTGTTTTTGCACAGTCTTTTCCTTACTCAGTAAGGTCTTGCCTCATTCACATGCTGCAGTTAACAGTCTAGAACCCAAGATTAAATTGCAGGTTCAAAATTGAGCTCTATTTAAATTGGGCAGTTTCTTAAGTGCCCTATGCCTCAGTTTTCTCATCTGTTACATGGGGATAATACTCATATTAGCCCCAGAATGTCATCATGAGGAGTGATTGCTTTAATATTTATGGAGTGCTTTCAACAGTATCCAGAACATGGTAAATGGCAGCATTTTGGTGCTACTTGTTACTATTGCCTCTTAATGCACCTAATTCTTATTTGTTAGGGCTCAAAAGTCACTTTATCTCTTAACTTCATGAATATAGTGTGCCTATTCCTTCTTATCTTCAGTTAACCGTCATGTATACATTTGAAAACAATTGTCCTCTGTTATCTTCAGAAATAATTTTTTTTTTTTTTGAGACAGAGTCTCACCAGAGTCACCCTTGGTAGAGTACCGTGGCATCCCAGCTCACCGCAAGCTCAAACTCTTGAGCTTAAGCTATCCTCTTGCCTCAGCCTACCAAGTAGCTGGGACTACAGGCACCTGCCACAACGTCTGGCATTTTTGTTGTTGTTGTTGTTGTTGTCATTATTGTTTAGCAGGCCTGACTGGGTTCAAACCCACCAGCCCCAGTACGTGTGGCTGGCACCCTAACCACTGAGCTACAGGCACTATGCCATCTTCAGAAATAATCTTTATTGCTGTGATACCTGGAGAAAAAATTCAGGGGGAGAACTCAGCATTCTCCATCTCTTTGCTATCTTCTTTCTCCCTGCCTTGCACTAAGGGGTTTCTCTAGTCTTCACATGAAGTCCATGAAGGTGTTCCTTGCATAAGCAGAGCCATTGGAAGTGTGGCTGTCATATGCATTACCTCCAGGATCAATTGGATGCTGGAGGTCCCTAAGTGTAAGGGCCTACTCAGAATGAATTTCCCTCCATTTTCCCAAAGACTATCCCATCCATTATTTCCAGTTGCAGAAAAGAGAAGGGTTACTCCATGAACACGATTGCTAAAAATATTTTAAAGCTACTAAGAGAGAGAACGGCTCTTCTTGGCTTTGCTGCTTCCTGAAATGTGACTTTTAGCATGCCACTTCCTCTTCTCGGGCTTTGGTTCCCAATACACAGTGCCTGGATGAGTTATGTGGGCTCTAAGTTCACTCCTGTCTGGTCCCCGGAGAAGGCCAGGTCTGTGACTCTTGGGACCTTTATCTTGTGGCAGTTCAGAAAGCAGTTACATTCTGCAAATAATGACATCTGCCAGACTCTTTTGTGTTTTGTGTTTCTGGTCACCACATGGTGTTAGAAGAAGTTTAGATGAGAAAAGAGGCAATAGGTTCTTGTGAACAGAGCCCTACTAGTCATTTTTTTCAGAAAAGACTTTTATTGAGCGTATGCCAGGGGCCAGTGGCTGGGGATCCAATAATGACAAAAACAAAGAAAAACCTGTTTTCATAAAACTCATATTTTAGTTGGAAGAAATGGGTAAAGCACAAGAGTGATAGTAAAGTTTTAAATATATTTTTTCTCTACAAAGGTCAAAGTACAGCAAGAAAGTGGCATATGAACTATTGAGCAGGGTCATTAGAACCAGGACAAGCATCTTCACATTCCTCACTATTTTTTAGCCTAAAAAATAGAAGTAACAATGTAGAGTTGATGGACATGATACAAAAAATAGTTGTTTGTCCAGTAGGTGTCCGTGAACACACACACACTCAGTACTGTGAACAGATACTGACAAGAAGAGATCAGGAGGTATAAAAATAATAAATACTTTCTGATGGCTACAAGCGGTGATGACAAGGGGCTAGAGAGTTAATTTCCACCAAGCTTTAATTATCATGTGTGTGCATGTATGCACACGTATGACTGTGTGGTGGGGTGGGGGGATACAGAATACATAGGTATTGCTGTTTCCACTAAAGAAACTCTCCACAAAGTTTGCAGGAAGATGTCATTGTATTCACAGAAGTAGAATTCGAAGTATTATGAACAATTTTAATTTCTGTCTTGATTGAGCTTTGAGCTGTTTCCATGTGAATGAGATGGGAAAGATCCATACTAGTCAGATCAGCACATTTAAAAGATTGTTCACAGCAATCGTCTCTAGCCATTTTATAAAATAAGGACGTGAAAACTTACACTATTGTTTTGTGAGATGCCTTCCTCACAGCATATCCTTGAGTCGGATGTGTACATAGACAGCTTTCATGTATGCAGATTGGCGGGGGGGGGGTCCACTAACAAGGATTTAGAAATGATAACTCTGACTATCTGCAAGAAGGGCAAAGATTCATACAGAAAACTTTCGGAAACAAACCAATTTCGGTCAATTCGCACCGTCCCTTAGAAATAAAATGCTAGTATACACCCAGTGCCAATTAGACTGCAGTGGTTGTTTCATTCCATCTCTTTGTCAGATGGCTTTGTGCATCAGAAAGTAGATTTTCTTCCCCCAAATTAAAAAGATAAAATGAGATGAAGATATAAAATGACGATGTGTTGCCGGTAACCTTCTTTACTGTAAGATCTTGCGTCAGCTATATTCTTATTAAATTTGTGTAAGAGAGGAATTTCTTTTTAGCTTGCCAATTTATTTTATAATATTCTGATAAATACAGTAAAGTCCATGGCGTATGTAGTGTCTTATATTGAAAACCTCATCAGTTTCCTGCCCCAGTAAAATTCCATATAACTTACCCTCGCAATTCTCTTTCCAGGATAACCAAGACAGAAACAAACGGGTGAGTACCGCCCAGCCCAGTAGCAAATGAATGCAGCTCTACTGCCAGTGACACTCAGAGCTAATATCACTTTTATTCTCTCATTTAGTTTTTATTTCACTACGCCAGAACTCAGGAGCCAACACATCCAGTTAAAACTTGGGTCAGTATTTTATTGTAATCAATAAGTGTGCTTTTCCTCTGCATGTCTTTCATCTCTTCCTGGTTAATACGGGCAGCCAAGTAGCAAAGCTGGGATCTGCAGACCCCCACTCCCACCCTCACCCCATAGTAGCTTTTTAGGGGCTTTTCTCTAGGGCTGCAGAGATCCTCTCTCTCCCTTTCTGTGGTGGCTGGCAGATCTAAAACTTTAGAGAATAAATCACAGAAAAGAAAAATAAGAAAGAAATAACTTTTTATTATGCACTTAAACAGATGTCCAAGAAGAGCCTGGTGAGTACTGTGCTCTCTCCACATTGTTCCTTATACTGTCTATTTTTAAATTTGTGTTTTGTGATGTATATAGACCCTTCCCCCAGCAATGATCCATGGATGTGCCCCTCCCATGGCCATGATGATGTGTGTGTGCAATGGGAATAATAACCATCACCTTTAACTTTCTTACTATAAATTTGAGTTACCCTTGGGAGCAGTTTGGTTAGGTAAATATCTGTGGCATATGATTGAAGGAATTTGGGGGAAGGTCATAGCATATAATTTTTAATCCAGGTGCCCTTTCAGGGCAACTGAAATTTTACCATTAGAAAGTCACTTATTTATATATGCAAGGCTCTCCAAGTCTTCCAGAGGATCCCTAAGAAAGCAAATACTCATAAAGACATTTTTCTGTCTAAGAGCCAATCAGTATTATAGGTCTAGGTAGGGGATTGGATAGAGAGGGGGGATATTATCAAGACCAAAAAGAGCACCAAGAAGGGCGAGAGAACAGAAGGGGAGAGACAAACTCTGTGACACAAATTAACTTTTACTCTAAACCAGAGCACTGAGGGTATTCATGGGGACTAGATAAGGACAGCTAGTATGCCTGCATGCATGTGAGCAGTCACAGACATACAAGAAAATAGAAATGCATGGGGGGTGGGGAAGGGTTAGGGTGCTGCTCTTCTACCTGGTCCCCTGGATTAGAAAAACCCAGAAAAACTACACCTGGGGAGCAAGAAGGATTGGCATGGAGCTGCTTCCAGGATGATGCATTCCACGTTAGGAGTACAGAGTGCTAGGGGTTCAAGGCCTGTCCAAGTCTGATTTGCCCTAAGGAGATAACTTTAAGTGATGTGTTGAAATTGAAACTTGCAATCAAGGCAAGCAGCTCTTTATTGGAAACATAAAATTTCAAGTTTAGGCTCGGAAATGGATTTTGCTCTGAAAATTAAACCCATTTGTAAGGGAAGTGAGTCGCAAGGAATGCACATCGCCCTGGGCTCTCCAGATATTCCTCTGTTGCTGGTGTCTGGTGTTGAGTCTTAACCCTCTCAGTGCCTCTTCGTTGCAGGTTCCTCCCGTGCATCCTTTAATGCGCCTGGCTGCCAAGCTCGCCAACAGACGGATGAAAAGATTTCTGCAGCGAGTATGTACTTTTTTCCTTCCTCATAGTTTTATGCCACTGAAGGTTCATTTATCCTTGGGGTTCACATTCATTCTCTCCTTGAATCTCAGTGTTGGGAGGGAGCTCTGGGCAGAGCAACTCGTCCTGTGAACTCAAACTTGCACAAATTCCTTGACCCCTTTAAGCCTCAGTTTCCTCCACTGTAACCCCAGGAGGTGGCTGGAAGGGCCCAGCATGGTTCCATTCCTCTCCTCTTTTGCCCTTTTCATCTCTGTTTTGTTCTGCTTTTGTGTTGTTTAGTCACTTCCTTAGTCCCTTCCACCTGACATGAAATGTGCCCAGGTGATATCCTCTGTTCCCTATTGCCCTGCCCACCTTTTGTCTGTTTCTCAGAGCTTTTTATTTTTTGAGACAGACTCTCACTTTGTGGCCCTGGGTAGAGTGCTATGGCATCATAGCTCACAGCAATCTCAAACTCTTGGGCTTAAGCGATTCTCTTGCCTCAGTCTCCCGAGTAGCTGGGACTACAGGTGCCCGCCACAATGCCTGGCTGTTTTAAAAGATGGGTTCTTTCTCTTACTCAGGCTGGTATCAAAATCCTGAGCTCGGGCAATCCACCCACCTCAGCCTCCCAGAGTGCTAAGATTACAGGTGTGAGCCACTGTACCCAGCCCTATTTCTCAGAGCTTTTTAAAGTTTTTTTTTTTTATTTTTAAGTTTAGAAATTACTAGTTTCAGTAATTTCTATCCAAAATGTTAATGAAAGTCTTATTGCATGATAGTAAGAACAAAAAAGAAAAAAACATATTTCTTTTGGATGTCCTGTCCCCAGGTAGGGTGACCAACTAGTCCCAGTTTGTCCAAGACTTCCCAGGTTTTAGTTTGGAAAATCCCAAGACTTCCAGTCTCTGGGTATCTGGCTGGTCCTTCTGTGCACAGGCAGCAGTTTGTCTGATCCCCTGCTGACTGCAGGCTTCCAGGTTCAGTCTGACTCCATTCTTACGCCAGATTTACAGGCAAAGAACATGCGGAAGCAATCCATTTCAAAGTTGGCGTCATTCGGAACAGCAGGGAAACTTAACAGAGCTTGACACAAATGGTGGTAACTCAACCAGGAAAGCAAACTTGCCTTCCCCATCTAGAGCTTGTCATTGGCCACCGTCAGCCATTCTCCCTAACTGCTTTTGTGCTGCAGACTTCTGACTGCTTTAGGATGGAAGCGGGAGGAGCAGGATCCCCAAGGCCAACTGCACAGTTGTGAGTGTGGTACCTCTTGAATTAAACCATGCCTATTCCCTTGCAGGGGTCGGAGGCTGCTGCAGTGGGCTTTAGCAAGAAGGTATGTGAGCCCTATGGACAACGCAATCCTAAAGAAAGCTCCATGTGAGAAGGGCAGGGCAAGACTTGGAGCTGGCCACCCTGCAGCCCCTCCAGACTACTTCTGGGAAGAACTGGTCTCACACATGACTCTGAGAATCTTCTGCTGAGCATCTTCTAAATTCAGATTTCCCTGGGGCAGGAAGGAACAAGGGGCAATGCCGCTGGCTATTAATATTTCATCTCTAGTCTTACAAATGCATTTCCTGGGGCCATCTGCTCCTGAGAATTTGCCTTCTCTGCCTCAGGGGCCCACATGCAGTTACCCAAACGCAGCCTAGCATTGCCAGCTAACAAAGACCAAATGAAAATAGTTCTCAAACTTGAGGGTGCATCAGAGCTACCTGGTAAATTTCAGATTTCTGGGCCCTCCCTCAGAGGTTCATTAGGTCTGGACTGGGGCCAAGAGTTTGTATCTCTAACAAGTTTCCAGGTGGTATTGATGCTGCTTCTCTGGGACTACCCCTTTTGAAAACTATCCCCACAGATATTTTTGATGAATGTGATTGCATAATAGTTTATGTTTTTGTTTTGCAGGATCAAGCTGCCACCTTGGGACGACCATTTTTCCTTTTCAGGGTATAACATATTTCCTCATCTCTGTTTTCTGACCCTGATTCACTGCAACCATCCCACTTAGGAAGTCATTGTAGAATGGGCAGAATTGTTCACTGCCTGATGAACAATTGTGGGGACTCTCACCCTTCACTGGGCATGACTCAAAGTCAAAATCTCCTCCTACAAGCTTGTAAAGACAAGGTCCAACATGACAGAGGCTGGGTACAGCAGAGTTGAGGGGAAAGGAATCTTACTGATGGACAGACAAGGAGGCAGACCAGGGTCTGAGTTTGTGTTTCAGAACAGCAGTCCCCAACCTTTTGGACTAGTTTCAAGGAAGATAATTTTTCTGCAGACCAGGGTTGGGGGATGGTTTGAGGGTTACTTAAGTGCATTGCATCTCTACCTCAGATCATCAGGCATTAGATTCTCATAAGGAGCATGCAACCTAGATCCCTCTCACCGCAGTTTATAGTAGCATTCATGCTCCTATGAGAAGTTAAGGCTGCCACTGATCCACTGATCTGACAGGAAGCAGAACTCAGGCAGAGGTGTAAGTGATAGGGAGCGGCTATAAATATAGATAAAGCTTCACTCTTCTGCTGCTCACCTTTTGCTGTGTAGCCTGGTTCCTAACAGGCCATGGACCTGTGCCAGTCCATGGCCTGGGGCTAGAGACTGCAATTTTAGAGCAATAACATATAGGACACATGGCTCCCAAACACACTGGCAGGAGCAGTTCAGGCACCAGCCTTCCTCCGTCCTAGGTAACACAGAAATTGCAAAGGTCACAGAGCCAGAAGTTGTCTTTTAGTGTTTGCTCTGCCATTCTCTAGCTGTGCTCAACCCCTGGGAGCCTCGGTGTTTGTGTAGAAAACTGAGTAAATCAGACTGGATCTGTGCCCCCAAACTGCATTCTGTAAATCACTGAACAGGTACTTTTTAAAATCAGATAAGATTGGAAATCCCTGCACCCAACATTCACAAAGACTCGCATGCACACTGGCCCTTCACAGGCTCTAGAAGTCCTGTGGAAACAACCTTGTTTCACTCGCCATAATCATCTGTTTCCTAACTGATTTGACAATGGAGAGTCTTCCCATCCCTTCCCCACTTCTACCACACATACCCCTGTTTGGTCTGTATGACCTGTTATTCTCTGGAAAGTACTTTGAGAAGAGTAGATCCTCATGGTGTCTCTAGGCTGATCAGTCCTGACGGGTGGTCTGTGGGTCTTCTCATCACACCAGCACAGGCTAAGGGGTAGAAGGGATGGTGGTGGTGGGGGACAGGAGATGATGTTGGTTCCTAGGAGTAGCAGGAGTCCTAGAGCACTTCCCCAGAGCTCCTATGGACTAGCACTAGCATGGGGCAAGGCTCACCAGGTGGGTCCCAAGGAGGAGGAGTGAAATCCTGGTTAAGGAATGAGGCCTTACCATTCAATATACAGAGGAGCTGGACTAAGATCCAGGCCCCAGACAGTTGTGTCTCAGTATCTGTAAGCCATGGCTTTTTTTTTTTTGCAGCCAAGGAATGGAAGAAACATCAAGGACACAGCTCGGTAGATAGTCCAAGGTCAGCTTCATTGCAACTTTTGTTTCACAAGCAAATATTATGTGCCTGATTAGAGGGCCTGAGAGGCAGCCAGGGGACCCTATGGAACCCCCAAGCACCCGACCTCTTCTCCTTTCCTGACCACAGCATCTCCTGACCACTCCTGTATAGCAAAAGCAGGATGTCCTGGGCAACATTGCAGCCTTCACTTCTATGACTTCTCTCCTGGCCCCTCTGATAAGGAAAACCCCACACTGTATGCTTGGGTGGTGCACCAAGGAGCCCCTGGAAGATACCAGGTTTCCCATAGTGGAAACATTTCTAAGTTCAGCCAGGCAAAGCTGTTCTCTCCAGCCCAATGATGCTCTGAGATCCAGAGTTTAAGTCTGGGGAGATTCATTGGCCTTCAGGTCTGTGGAAGAGGAAAATCCATGCACCAGGGCAGCTTTGAGACTCTTCTCTATGTCTCATGATGATATGGCCCCAGGGACATGCAGCCACAGTCCCATGGCTGCTGCCAGCAGGTAGCAGCAGTCAAGGCCCCTGTAGCCCAAGGTGCTGAACAAAGCTGTCCCACCGCTGGGGAAAAAACACCCAGCAAACACAAGGGGAAGGTGATCTCTGAGGCCATAGCACTTATACCAATCTAATAGCCTAATTAGATACTGCAAAAACAAATCTTATAAGTACTGATTGCCGGGAAGTGATCTGGGCTTTTATGACTTGTCATGTTGAGGTGTAATTGTAAGATATATTATATAAAAGCATGCCCATGGCCTTGTCTTGTCTTCTGAGAATGATTTGACCTGAGCTGTATATTATTCTTTTCTTTTTCAGAATTCAATAGCACAAGAAAGCCAGATCTGATGAGGCCATTCAGTGACTGTTTTGAACAAATGTCAAATTTCCTTCTGCAAACAATATTTAAAGATATTTCTCTTGCTCTGTGTTCACTAGAATATTTAGTTGTATAAAAATAAAGTAGCTCCGTGTGATATTGTGAAATATACAGAAGTATTTGGGCCTCCTCTGATTTCCTGGCATATCTTCAAAGTGATAATCATCTTTTGTGTGCTAATGAGTTGACTGGTGACTGGCAGCACCTAGGTAGTTTAGGATGGGGGCTGGTTACCAGAAAGACCAAGGCGGGATTAGAAGGTTGGGATTTTGAGCCCTACACCTCAACCTCAGAGGAGAGAGGAAAGGCTGAAGGTTAAACCCATCACCAATTGCCAATGATTTAATCAGTCGTGGCTGAAGTAAAATTCAATAATTCAAACTTAAAAGCTGTTGGAACTTCAAGTTATTTGAGCTTTGAAAGAAACGCAGTTGCGTGGTCTGAGTCACATAGCATGTAGCTGTAATTTCTGCTTCTCCAATTATAGATTAATTCCCTTCCTTCGTTTTTATTCTATAAAATGACTAAGAATGAATGGTGCCAGAGATAAGTCCCCTCCCCTCTTAATTACTGGCTTTTTGTTATGGATTAACTTTTTCCTTTATTGTCTTGCACCAACTCAGAAACAGATGGTGCAAAAGACCCTATGACTGTTACATTCTCCATGTGGAATATTAAATACTCTTCTTGAAAGAGAACACAGCCTGTGAACAATCAAATCATTGTAACTGTGTACCAACCTCCTATGGAACATGTTCAAATCCTATTTCAGCTTCCCCAAACCTTTCCACGTCAGAGTGCTGATTCCATTCATTTGGAGTCAGCATTAACAGGTGGCCATTCTCCAGCTTTGAATTCAAATAAACCCTATACTTAGTCATATTTTATGAATGTCATTATGTAAGGCTGAGACTATGCAATAGAGCTTCCAGAAAAAGCCATAGGACGGGGTTCTAAGAGCTCCCAGGTAACAGAATATATAGTGCTCCGAGGAGGGTAGTGCCCCTGGTGAGGACACAGAAAGCTCTGTGACCCTTCCCACACCCCTTGCCCTGGGGATCTCTTCATTTGTATTCTTTGTAATATCTTTTGCAATAAACCAATAAAGGTTAAGTTGTTTCCCTGAGTTCTACAGGCTGCTATAACGAATTAGTTCAATGTTGACTCATAGCTGGTCAGTGAGAAGCACAGGAAAAATAATCCAGAGCTTATGATCAGCATTGGACACCCAGCTGATGTCTGCTGCAGAGCTGATCACTTGCCTGGGGAGAAACCACATGCACAGTGTGGTGTGAGAGCAGAGAAAAAACTGCTTTTTCTACTCATACTGACACACCATTTTCACTTCTTATTGGAAAGTCTTTGTGGGGAGGTGTTGGGTATATTTTTTTAGTAATAGGATTTAGTTTTTAAAACTTACCATCTTTGATATTGGTTTAGCATCCCATAATTATCTTGTTATTATTGAGAGCTGAGAATGTGAGACTGGGATAGGTTGATTGGCTTCAAATCCTGTGTCCTCTGCTTTTAGCCGGGTAACCTTGGGTAGGTCAATTCCCATCCCTGTGCCTCTGTTTGCATTGTGGTAAAACGAGGTTGGTAGTACTAGTACCATCTTCCCTTAGGTTTTGTGAGGACTAAAGAGATGGTCCATGTGAAGGGCTTGGCATGGTGGTACATAATAAACACTCCATAAACGTTGGCTCTAATTACACTTAAAAGATGATTTTCATTACACAAGTCTGTTTCTTTATTGCTGATAGCACTAAGTTAAGGTATAACAACTCCAGCCTCTCCAAAAGCCCTGAGGCTCAGGCCTTTACTTATCAGGCCCCTCTTCTATGAATATTTATATTTGCACTTGACATTAGCCCTCCGAAGATCGTCCTATGGAGCAGATGGTAAGGTAGAAGATGTTTATACAATGCAAAGAGGGCCCCTAATGACATATACCATGAGCTTAAATCCCACTAAATATTTCTTCTTTGAGCTTCTTGAGCTCCTCATCAAATTTAAAAATGCTCCCTTTAAAATGATAGACTTAGGATTTTTAAAAAAGATTTTGACTGTTTATGAACCTTGCATTAAGTCTGACGCTTATTTTCTCAAATAGAATATTTTAAAACTCCTCAGTAGATCTTTACCACAGAGATGACCGAACCTAATTTTGCCTGGTATTTTCCTGAGTGCAGACTGCAGGTGGAGGAATCAAGCTGCTGGCCCAATGCCCAGCAGTTGGTAGAAAACGGGGTGGCCTGACCTCCAGATGCTTCCCAGGTACTTGGTTCTTATCCTGGGGCTGAATCAGCAAGAATAAAGAACAAGCACAAGTGATTTAAGGAAAAGGAAAGGGAAGTCATTAAATGCTGCCAAATTAATTTGCCACAGATGAGCATCTCAAAAGACCACCATCTGTCTTTAAGCAGAAATACAGGGCTTAATAAAGGGAGAGGTTTCACAGGGTGGGCTTGGGTCTCTGTGACCAGTGTCACAAGTCGTGTCCTTGGGCCACTGTTGTTTAACTGTAGCTGGTGGTTTTGGTTGACCTTATCTCCCGTAAAGAGGATGTGTGACCTCTGGACAATTCCGTTGAGCTATTTCCTATGATTTAAAATACTAGAAAACAAAGAACAGAGACCATTTTTCTGCTCCTTTGATTCCTGGCCTCAGGCAGGAATGCAGGTTTTAATTTCCAAAAAGAGCGGGGGTGAGGGGGGTTTAGAGAAAGAAATGATAGAATATTTTGCCCTTATTCAGACCTTTACCTCAGTTACTATTTTACCTCTAGTCCTACTAGAACAGCAGCTTTCTCAGCCTCCTTGATGGGGCGAGCACGGCACGGCATTTGTGGGAGATGCTGCTAATACCAGTCTTCAGAAATGATCTCAAGATTTGGGAGTTGACCAAGGGAGGTAGGTTTCTACTCCAAATTGAGCAACATAATTCCCTTTGGTAAACCTGTCATGATAAATCCAGGTATTTATTTATTGACCCTCAATGGAGGGACCCCCCACATGCTAGCCAGGGTGGTGGTGATTATAGGGGGTCAGTGGGGTGGGGCAGGCTGAAAGTATCTCTGTTTCTAAGGAACACTGTTTGAGCTAAAACTCCTTCTTTGCTAAGCCTGTTGATGGGGCAGTGGAGACAGACTTTGCCTTCCCAGACATCACCTCATTTCTTTTTCCTGCAGTGATGTCCAGAAATGTGCCAGCAGTGCTGATGAGTCTAAAGATGAAACTAGGGTATTGTTGACACTTTCCACACTGCAAGGATGGATCCTTCTTACACATAGCAATGGACTTCTTTTAGCCTGATTTCCCATGAAAAGGAGCTTTGTAAGGTCACACTACTCAAGTGTCCTTTCTAAGATGTTTGAGTTTAAGGCTCAGTTTCAGTCACTAGATGGAGAAAGCCACCAGCTTAGAGCTGGCAATCACTTTACCAGGAGAAGCCACAGTGCCCAGGGCCACTGCAGCCCTCAGCATGATCAAGGGTCCATGTCTGGCCAGTATGGAGCTATGAAGGGAACCCTTTGAATCTTGATTGATCATTCAGCCCCGGCTTCTTGTGGGCTGCTGAAGACTCCAGTTGAGAAAAGCCAAGTGACTTACCCAAGGCCATATAGCTGCTGGCAGCATGACCAAAGCAAAGCCCAGGTTTTTTGTTTAAAGCCTAATTCCTTTCTTTACCTTGATATTTCCACCCTGTATTAATTTTTTGAGGATTGCCATAAAAAATTAACAAAATTTTGTTCCTTAAAACAACAAATACTCTCTTATAGTTTAGGAGTATAAAATCAAGGTGCTGGCCGGGCCATACTCCATCTGAAGAATCTAGGGGAGACCACTTCCTTGCCTCTTATAGCTCCAGGTGCTCCTCTTGGCTTACAGCAACATCACTCCAATCCATGTCTCCATCTTCCCACGGCCTTCTCCCTTTCTCTTCCCTTATAAAGACACTTGGGATTGGATTTAAGATCTTCCCTAATCTAGGATGTTATCTTCTTACATCCCTAACTTAATTATCTCTGTTCGGACTTTTCTTCCCCAAATAAGTACACCTGCACAGACCCTGGGGTAGCATGCGGGCATATCTTTTATGGCCACAACTCAA